TCACTGGTCGGAAGATGGGGCGAGCAGGGAAGGCGAGGACCCGAGTTGCTCATCGAGCCCGTGCCAGCCTTCGACGTCGACGCGTCGTCGCCGCGGCCAGGCGCGGCTCGGAGCACGAGCGGGCTCCCGAAACCGTGCGATGGCAGGCCGTGCGGAAAACCTCGAGATCCTGAAGGACCGCACCGCACGGCCGGTCACCACGCGGTTTGGGGGACCTCGGAGGCCCACGTCGCCCGAGACGTCCTCGGAGAACGACCCGCGTCCCAGAACCGCGCGGTCACCCCCAGTCCCCACAGACGCACCACACGGTGCGGTCACCGCACCGTTGGCGGGGGGGCCCACGAGAGCTGGCCAGGATGGGCCTCGGGAGTGACCCGGGGGACTGGTGCTGAGAGGGCGCTGGTCGGGGACGGAGAAAGATTGTCGGGCTTCTGGAAGGAAGAGAGGGAGCCCCTCATGGGCTGTCGGCCCCTCCTAAGAGGCCTGTCTATGAGAAAAGGGCTTTTCAGGAGGCTGCTCGTCCTCTCCGTCCTTCTTCTCCACCTCCTTCTCCTCCTCATTATCATCGTCCTCCTCCTCCTCTCCTCCTCCTCCCATGGTCCTCCTCGTCCTCCTCTTCGTCCGCTGTGGGGCCTCTGAGGCGAACGACTGCGGAGGTGGGGAAGCGCTGCTGCAATCCCGCCCACCCCGCCTGCGCGAAACTGTGTACACAACTATCTTGCCAGAAACTCAATTCAGAACGATCTTCACATGATGCTGGAAGACTGGGGGCGGACGCATTCTGCCCCCTTTCATACTGTTGAGATCCAACGCCACACATGTTTTTGAATGGCAGCTGCTTGTAAAAAAAACATGAGGCACACCGAAAAAAACTGTCCCGCCACGTGTGCCTAAAATCCTCCTCCTCCTCCTCCTCCTCCTCCTCCAGATCCTCCTCCTGCTCCTCCGCTTCCTCCTCCTCCTCCTCCTCCTCCTCCTCCTCCTCCTCCTCGTCCTGCTCCGCTTCCTGCTCCTCCTCCTCCGCTTCCTCCTCCTCCTCCTCCTCCTCCTCCGCCTCCTCCTCCTCCTCCTCCTCCTCCTCCTCCTCCTCCTCCTCTCCTCCTCCTCCCTCCCTCCTCCCTCCTCCTCCTGTCCTCCTCCTCCTCCGCTTCCTCCTCCCCTCCTCCTCCTCTCCTCCTCCTCCTCCTCCTCCTCCTCCTCCTCCTCCTCCTCCTCCTCCTAACGCCGTTGCCGTGCCATCAGCCCGGCCTGTCCCGCAGCGCCCAGGCGGCCCCAGGCTGCCTGCAGTTGCAGGTCGCCGGGCCGGCGCCGCCTGGCCACAGAAGTCCAGATGGGGGGGAGGATCTCGAGGAGGGGGGGGGGGCGTCAGGCCGCCCCCCCCCCCCCCTCATCGAGGGGGAGGACGAGAGGGCAAGGGGAGGGGAAGTGCGAGGGGGAGGACGTGGGGGAGGCTGCCCCCCCTCCCTGATCGCCTCGACCTTCCATTTGCCTCCTCCTCCTCCTCCTCGTCCTCCTCCTCCTCATCCTCCTCCTCCTCTTCCTCCTCCTCCTCCCTCCTGCTCCTCCTCGGGAAGGAGAACGGCGGTGGTCACTACAGGCCCCGAGAAGAGCAACGCGAACCACGACCACGACACCGCCGCCGCCGCCGCCGACGACGACGACGATGAAGATAGAGACGAGGCGCGCGAATAATCCGCACAGAAGCACGGATTTGGGAAGGACCCACTCTGAGATGTTTGACACACGCATCATTGAGCGGTGCTGAGCCCTTCCCGAGCACAGGCCCCCCCCTCGGAGCAGCCATGAATTTTGGGTGTGCACCCGAATGCCTTGCTGAGCCCAGGGGCGCGTTTCGGTAATTACCCTCTCCCCCAACCTCGTCAGGGCCACCGACAAAGGAGAGGGAGGCGGTGGCCGACGCCGCGGCTCATAGAGCCGGGAAGACAGACAGGCAGACGGACGGACGGACAGCCATGCGGAGCGCGGAGGAGGGAGGAAAGAGGAGGGGGGAGGAGGGAGAAGGGGGAAGGGGCATGAGAGAAAGAGAGAATTTAGCATGTCTAGGGGGACCGTCAGACAGGCCTCGGAAAAAATAGCGAACACTCATGCCACATTCATCTGTCAACGCCTCCCCCTCCCCCAAATGTTCAACGTTGGCGGTGGGTCTGATGAGTTGCACCTCGACCGCAGTCTCCCCCGCGCGTGCCAACTTTGAGTTTGGGGGGAAGGGGGAGTGTTCAGTAATTGTTTCCCTCTACCGGAGGACTCTTGGGGGGCTCTGGTCATCCTCATCCCCGTCCTTCTGATCCTCCTCCTCCTTCTCATCCTCGTCCTCCTCCTCCTCCTCGTCCTCTTCCTCCTCCTCCTCCTCCTCCTCCTCCTCGTCACCGCCCTCCTTGTCCTGCTCGTCCTCTGGATCCTGGTTGCCCTTCTACTCCTCGTCATTCCAGTCCTCCTGGCAGAAAGAGGTTCACGAGACGGGGGCGATCTCATAAAGCGTCTCGCCGACGGCGGCGATGTCTTTCCTCGTGTTCGAGCTCGAGGCGAGGAAAGGGTGAGAACAAGGGGAGGAAGAGGATCAGAAGGCCAACAAGTTGGCCGACGCAGGTCACTGCGAGACAAGGGCGAGGCTCGGCCTGGCGAGAAGCTAGCCGCCATGGCAACGCCATCGCGAGGTTCAACCGAATCGGCATGAGGGGACACAAGGATCCGGGTGTGCGATGCGGGAATTTATCCATACTTACCGCCTGAGGAACCGATGCGTAAGTCCCGCCTCGGATGGCGGCAACGGCCCGTCCAATTTCGGCACACCCCTCGCATTGTTCGTGGCCCCAGAGGGAGCTCCGCCAAATGCCTCAGTGGCACCATTCGAATGGCGGCGCGCCCTATTTGGGCGCACCCCTCACACGATTCGTAGCCCCAGAGGGAGCTCCACCGACGGCCCCAGTTGCAGGGTTCGCACGGCGGTGCCGCCCCATTTTGGCACACCCCTCACACGCTTCGTGGCCCCATCAGAAAGAGCGCGTTCTGTGTTCACTTGGAGAGGGGGAGGGGGGTTGCAGCCGGACCCCCCCACACCCCTGGATGGGAGAAGGGGGGAGGTTCGCACCCCTCCCCCCTCCACCCCGGGTCCCGGCGCCGGCGCCTGCAGCGGCGTGCGGCGGTGGCGGGGAGCGTCGACGAGGACGACGGTGGCGGTGGTGGTGGTGGGTTGTGGTGGTGGTAGTGGCGGTGGTGGTGGTTGTGGTGGTGGTGGTGTGGTGATTGGTTGTGGTGGTGGTGGTTGTGGCAGTGGGTGGTGGTGGTGGTGGTGGTGGTGGTGGTGGTGGTGGTGGTGGTGGTGTGGTGGTGGTGGTGGTGGTGGTGGTGGTGGTGGTTTGGTGGTGGGTGGTGGTTTGTGGTGTGGTGGTGGTGGTGGTGGTGGTGGGGGGTGGGTTGGGGTGGTGCTGGTGGCGGTTTTGGTGGTAGTGTGGTGGTGATTGGTGGTGGGTTGTGGTTGTGGCGGTGGTTTGTGGAGGTGGTGCTTTGTGTGTGGTGGTGGTGGTGCCTGTGGTGGTGGTGGTGGTGGGTGGTGGTGTGGTTTTGCTGCTGGTAGTTGTGGTGGCTGTGGCGGTGGTGGTGGTGGTGTGGTAGATTTTGGTGGTGGTGGTGGTAGTGGTGGTGGGTTTTTGTGGTGGTGGTGATGGTGAGTTGTGGTGGTTGTGGTGGTTGTGGTGGTTGTGTGTTGGTTTGTGGTGGTTGTGGTGTGTTGCGGTGGTGGCGGTTGGTTGTGCTGCTGGTAGTGGTGGTGGTTGTGGCGGTGGTGGTAGTGGTGGTGTGTGGTAGATTGTGGTGGTGGTGGTGGGATTTGTGGTGGTGGTGGTGGTGGTTGTGGTGGTGGGTGTGGTTTTTGGTGGTGGTGGTGGTGGGTGGTGGTGGTGGTGATGGTGCGGTTGTGGTGGTGGTGTGGTGGTGATGGTGGTGGTGGTTGTGTTGGGTGGTTTGTTTGTGGTGGTGGTGGTGGGTTGAGGCGGTGGTGGTGGTGGTAGTGGTGGTGGTGGTGGTAGTGGTGGTAATCGTCGCTGCGTCCCCGCCGTCGCCGGCGCCAGCGCCGGCGCTGCTGGCCGCCGCGCAGCGCCGGCGCCGAAGGGGGGGGGTTTGAACCCGCCCCCCCCCTTGGGAGGGGAGGGGGGGGAGTGAACACCCCCCCCCTCTCCCTGGGCTGCCTCTGGTCATCGTCGCTGCGTCCCCGCTGTGCACGCTGCTGGCGGCCGCCAGCGCCGGCGCTGCTGGCGGCCGCCAGCGCCGGCGCCGGCGCCGAGGGGAAGGGGGGGGGGGGATTCGGGAGGGGGGGGGTTTGGGGGGGAGGGGAGTCCCCGTGGTCTTGTTCGACGGCGCCGAGTGTGGGGGGGGGGGCCACCCCCCGATTTGAAACGCGCCGCCGAATGTTCCCAAGGCAAGCGCCCGTGAAACGCGTTCTCTCTCCCATCAGGAGCTCCAGTGAAGACCCCAGTGGCACCGTTCGCATGGCGGCGCCTCTTCTGTCGCACCCCTCACACGGCTCGTGGCCTCATAGGGAGCTCCACCGAAAGCCCCAGTGTAACCTTTCGCATGTGGGCGTCGCCCCATTTTGGTATACCCCCACACACTGCGTGGCCTCGTAGTCAGGAGCTCCACCCAAGCGGCGCCACAACACGGCACTCACAACGGCATTTGGGTGGCCACTTCGCCAGGATATTTTTGTCACACCCTTGGGCTCTCCCGCCCACTTCAGCAGCGGGGAGCCGCCAGGCGACCGTGGGGCCGCTTCGGGGAGAAGTCCGTCCCACACCACCGCCCGCCAGCGCACGTAGGCCGCGAGCTCTCCAAGCGACGTCTCCGCGTGCGACCGCTGGTCGCCCTCCTGAGAGGGGCCAGGCACTCCGAGTTGCTGTCAAAGCGGGAACAAATGGATCGCGTGGGAGGCGGGAACCCAAATATGCTCGCGCCGTGAGCAAAAAGCACGATGAGGACGCCTTCGGCAGTCTTCGGCCGTCACGAGCCCTCGCCGGGCCCCTGGACCGTCACAAAAAAGACCCGGGACGAAAAGCCGGCCCTGGGGAAGGGTTCCGGCGGATGTCTGGGGACCCCGATTGAACGCCTCCAATGGGCGGAGGAGAAGGAGGAGAAGGAGGAGGAGGAGGAGGAGGAGGAGGGGAGGAGGAGGAGGAGGAGGAGGAGGAGGAGAGGAAGAGGAGGAGGGGGCGGAGGGGGAGGACATGTGATCTCTGGCAATGGGCTGTCCTTCGCGGGGTGCGGGGGCGTTGGGGTTCGGCGACGCCTCTGCATGCAACCGCTGGACGTCTCCGCGTGCAACCCTGGAGAATCGAGGAAGGAGATTTTTCGGACGGTTCTTCTGCGCTTCTGGTTCTGGCTGGGCCTCCAGAAGCCTCTGGGGACCTCATCCACCGTCTCGTCCACCTCTTTGGCATTCCGTCTGGGCCTCCTCCTCCTTCTCCTCCTCCTCCACCTCCTCCTCCGCCTCCTCCGCTCGAGTATCCTGCTCGTCCTCGCCCTTCGGGCATTCAGTGCTGCCTTGGCTGATTGTTACGCTGACCCTCCTCCAATCCCCTCCTCCTCTTCCTCCTCCTCCTCCTCATCATCAGCATAATTTCGCCTAAGGCGTCCTCAGCATTTATGACCCTGAAGCAAAAACATGGCAACAATTGCACAGATGGTGGGCGGGTCGCTTCCAAAATGTGGCTCTCGCCCAAGCCCCGCGCACATTCGTTTCAAACATGTGCAAGCTGTTCACTGATTGAGGGCGGGTGGTTTTCAAATGTGGCTCGCGCCTTAGCGCCGCGCGCACTCGTCTTAAACATGTGCAACAGCCTCACACATGGAGGACGGATCGCTTCCAACATGTGTCTCTTGCCTTCACGCCGCGAACGCTCGCTTGAAACATGCGCAAGAGTTTTGACGGATTGAAGGCGGGTGGTTTTCAAAATGTGGTTCTCGCCTTGGCGCCGCGCACACTCGCCTCAAACATCTGCAATCATTTCGCGGATTGAAGGCGTGCCGTTTTCATAATGTGGCTCTCGCTGTAGCGCCTCGCACATCCGTTTTAGAAAATTAAGAGTTTCACGGATTGAAGGCAGCTGGTTTTCAAAATGATGCTCTCGCCTGAGCGCCGCGAATCCGCCGACCCTGTCGGCGTGTGTGAGGGGCTTTTCCGTTCGAGCCGTCATCTCCGTCATTCTTTGTACTCGTCGTCTCTGTCCTTCCCTTTCCCTGGGAGACCTCTTCCCCTGGGCTCCAGCCAAGCCGACCTTGAGCAACCTCGTAATTGAGTCGAAGGGAAGCCCCTTCCCTTTGATCCCTCCCCCGCCGGGAGGGGGGGGGGGGTAGCGACCCCCCCCCCGGGTCAGATACGACGCCCCCCCCTGGGACTCCTCTTCCCCTGGGCTCCAGCCAAGCCGACCTTGAGCAACCTCGTAATTGAGTCGAAGGGAAGCCCCTTCCCTTTGATCCCTCCCCCGCCGGGAGGGGGGGGGGGGTAGCGACCCCCCCCCCGGGTCAGATACGACGCCCCCCCCTGGGACTCCTCTTCCCCTGGGCTCCAGCCAAGCCGACCTTGAGCAACCTCGTAATTGAGTCGAAGGGAAGCCCCTTCCCTTTGATCCCTCCCCCGCCGGGAGGGGGGGGGGGTAGCGGGGGGTAGCGACCCCCCCCCCGGGTCAGATACGACGCCCCCCCCCGTACCGACCTTGAGCAACGTCGTAATTGAGTCGAAGGGAAGCCCCTTCCCTTTCCCTTCCCCGACGGGGGGTAGGGGGGGTCCCGGGGGGGGTCCCAGGGGAGTCCCGGGGAAGTCCCGGGTCAGATACGACACCTCCCTCCCCCACCTTCTCGTCCTTCTCCCCGTTCCCCAAAACCATCCCACAGCCCGTGCCTCTTGCTGCGCATTGCGAACAGGGTCGGCGGCACCGGCCGTAAGGCCTTCGCAATACTTATTTAAACAGACTGCAAAGAGTTTCACGAATTCCCAGGGTCAATTCACAAGAAATGGTGTTTCGGAAGACTCAGGATTGCGAGGGTGCAACAATTGCGTTGCTTCCCGGTGTTCAAGTCCCAAGAATGGTGTCCTTGCGCGACTCGGGATCGTATAGACGCAACAGTCAGGTTCATCCGTGGCGTGGTAGTCCCGAGAATAATGTTTTGGCAGGCTTCAGGGTCTTCAAACGGTTGTCTCCCAACGAGGCAGTTCCCTCAGTGGAAATAAACCCTACTAGGGGCCTACGGAGAGGGAGCTTGGAGGGAGGGTTTATTCCAATGTCGTTGATGAGTCTTGGTTTACACTGGTCCTGCTTCTCCTCATCCTCATCTTCCTCCTCCTCCTTCTCCTCCTCCTCATCAACAACAACAACAACATCATCATCATCATCATCAACAACAACAACATCATCAGTTTGATTTCCATTAACAACATCATCACCAGCATCGTCATCGTCATCATGATCAGACTCATCATCAGCATCATCATCACCGCTATCATCCTCATCATCAGCAGCATCATCATATTATTATGATTCGTCTGCATCCTCCTCGTGCTCCTCCTCCTGCTCCTCCTCCTCCTGTCTGCCCTTCTCATCGCTCCTCATCCTCAACCCTGGAAACCTGCAGAATTCTCAGAAGACATTACATAACAATCATCTCCGACACGCTGATCAATGGGGCGAAAGGAAAAGGAACTGACAACAAATCGTCCTCGCTCTCCCTCCGCATCCTCATCCACCTCATCCTCCTCCTTCCTCCTCTTTGTCTTCCTCTCATTATTCCTCCTCATCATCTTCCCTCGCCCATTATCATCAGAATCATCATCATCAGCAGCATCATCATCATCAACATCATCATCATCATCATCATCATTATCCTCATCATCATCATCGTCATCATCATCATCGTCGTCGTCGTCATCATCATCCCTCCTCTTACCTCCTCCTCCTCTTCCTCCTGCTCCTTCTCCTCCTCCTCCTCCTTTTCCTTCCCCTCCTCCTCCTCCTCCTCCTCCTCCTCCTCCTCCTCCTCCTCCTCCTCCTCCTCCCCCGTGTACCCCTTCCACAATGTCAGACGCAGCCAAAATACGGGCGAAATCTGATACGGCTAATGGGCTCGGGGATCCATGAGACCCGCACACCCGCAGGATGGTACGGGACGCCGCGACCGCTCGAGCGTAGCCCGGGACTCTCTGGAACGTCCTGGAGCGAGCTACTCTGACATCCGCCGACATGTTTGACCCATCCATCCTGTGGTATCGGGTCCTCGTTGTGTGAAGGCACCGGCCCGCGTCCTCATCCTTTCTCCTCCTCCCCCCTCCCTCCCTCCCTCCCTCCCTGCCTCCTCCCATCCCTGCCTGTGCCCTTCGCATGTGCTCTTAATCATTCCCTCCCACATTTTGTGCACCCCTAGGGAGCTCCAACTAAAGCCAAAATACCACGGTCCGCATGGCGTCGCCGCCGCATTTCGGCACACCCCTCACACGCATCGTGGCCCCATAGGAAGCTCTCGCCAAGGCCCAAATGCCAGGGTCCGCATGGCGTCGCTACTTCAAATTCGGCACACCCCTCACAAGCGCTTCGTGGCCCCACAGGGACCTCCAGCTAAAGCCCAAATACCACGGTCCGCATGGCGTCGCCGCCGCATTTCGGCACACCCTCACACGCATCGTGGCCCCATAGGGAGCTCCAGCTAAGGCCCAAATGCCAGGGTCCACATGGCGTCGCCGCCTCAATACGTCACACCCCTCATAGCGTCGCCGCCTCACACACCCACATCCCTCACACGCTTCGTGGCCCCATAGGAAGCCCCAACTAAGGCCCAAAGTGACAGGGTCCGCATGACGCTGCCTCATGTCGGCATATCCCTCACACGTTTCGTGGACCCATAGGGATCTCCAGCTAAAGCCCTGGCTGCAAGGTCTGAGGCGGCGCCGCACCGATACCGGCAGAAAACTCACACGCACCGTGGCTATACACGGAGCTCCACCGAGGGCTCAACTGCAAGGGAGCGCATGGCTTCGGCGTTTCATGTCTGCAAACACTTCACACATCTCGCGGCCCCAAAAGCCATGGGGAGCACCATCAACAGCGCCAGTGCCGGCGCCCTCATGGCGGCCCCCCCATAATTCGGCACACCCCTTACACGCTTCGTGGCCCCGCAGGGACTTCCCGTCCCGTCGTCCCACCTGCCTTGCGGTACTCGCGCCTGCAGATGATTGTTGGGTGCGTTGCTGAGATAAATGCCGATCTGTGTCCCCACAACCGAAGCCCTTGGGGCAGTTTCCAATCATCCTGTGGTGTTGGGTCCTCGTTTTGACTTCCAATCGCCCAGCGTACTTCCCTCTTCGCCTCCTCCCCCTCCTTCCTCCTCTGGTCGGTGCCTCTGCCCTCCGCATGTCAGCATCGTTCACAATGTCACCAACGTCATTATGAGCAACATCGTTATCATACCAACATGCATCACTCAGCCCAGCTCGGCACATCTCTCACAGGTTTCGCGGCCCCACGGTGAGCGCCACCGAAGGTCCCAGTGGCGCCGTTCGCATGCGGGCGTGGCACCCCTTGCGACACACCCCTCGCACGATTCGTTGCCCCATAATGAAATCCACCGGAAGCCCCAGAGGTTCGGTTCGCACGTGGGCGTGGCACTCCTTTCGGCGCACCCCTCACACGCCTCGGGGCTCCATACACCGTTCGCACTTGGGCGTCGCACCCCGCTCGGCGCACCCTTCACATGTTTCGTGGCACCAAAGGGAGCTCCATCGTAGGCCCCAGTGGCACCTCTCGCGTGTAGAAACCGAAGACCCTAAAGGCACCATTCGCACGTGGGCGTCGCACCGCTTTTCGGAACACCATTCACACAGTCTGTGGGCTTACAGGGAGCTCTACCAAGGCCCCAGTGGCGCCGTTCACATGTGGGCGTCGCACCCTGTGTGAGTGTGTGAGTGTGTGAGTGGGTGAGTGTGTGAGTGGGTGAGTGTCCGAGTGTGTGAGTGTGTGAGTGGGTGAGTGTGAGTGTGTGTGTGTGTGGGTGTGGGTGTGGGTGTGGGTGTGGGTGTGTGGGCGTGTGTGGGTGTGGGTGTGGGTGTGGGTGTGGGTGTGGGTGTGGGTGTGCGTGTGGGTATGGGTGTGTGGGTGTGGGTGTGTGTTGTGTGGGTTGTGTGTTGTGTGTTGTGTGTTGTGTGTGTGGCCCTCCCTCCCGCGCTCTCCAAGGCCTTTAGCAGGCTCGTGTTGTAAATGAGTCATCGCGATACCATAAGGACAAGGAGCGCTGAATGAAGAACGAACAGGATATGTTGGCCACGGCGAGCCTTGGCTTCGAATGGGCTCCCCGACCTAGATCTGCGGAACGGCCCGAAAACCGAAGCCCCTCCCAAGCCTAGAATGGTTCTTACTTCAGCATCTTGACCGCGTGGGCCGCCCAGGGGCTTCCAGGCCTTGGAGGCGGCTGGGGGGGTCTGAACTATTTGGGATCCCACAAAACCGGTGCAGAGGATGGAAGAAGCCAAGTCTGGCCAAAATCTGTGTTTGGACCCCTCCCAGGGCCCGTGTGCTACAAATGTTCGCCGGGGATCCGTTTTTGAAGGTCCCAGGGCACTAAACTGGCCTCCAAAGGGAACAATCAGATAAAAACTTCAACGCACCCAGAGCCTCGAACCTGCCCCCCATCCCTGCTGGCCGGAAGCAGTGCTGGGCCACCTCAGCTCCCTCCCCAGCCTGCTCGAAGCCCCTCTGGGCCACCCGGGTGCTCTCGGCCCCTGGAGGCGACCGGGGGGTCTGAGCAGGCTGGGGCCCTACTAGAAAATGGGTCGGGGGGCCACACGCGAACCCTGCCACCGGGGCCTTCGGTGGAGCTCCCTACGGGGCCACGAAACGTGTGAGGGGTGTTCCGACATGGACATGCGGTGGGCAGGGAGCCGCATGCAAATACTGCCTCTGGAGCTTAGAGCTCCCTATGGGGCCGCCAAGCGTGTGAGGGGTGCACCGACATGGACAGGCGGTGGGCGGGGAGCCGCATCCGAACCCTGCCACTGGGGCTCTGGGTGGAGCTCCCCCTGGAGCCACGAACCGTGTGAGGGGTGTGCCGACATGGACATGCGCCGGGCGGGGAGCCGCAAATGCGAACCCTGCCACTGGGGCTCCGGGTGGAGTTCCCCATGGAGCCACGAGCCGTGTGAGGGGTGTGCCGACATGGACATGCGCCGGGCGGGGAGCCGCAACTGCGAACCCTGCCTCTGGAGCTCCCCGTGGGGCCACGCAACGTGTGAGGGGTGTACCTTAATGGTCGACATGCGGAGGGCAGAGGACGGGATAGGGGAAGGGATGGGGGAAAGGGAGGAGGAGGAGGAGGAGGAGGAAGAGGAGGAGGAAGAGGAGGAAGGGAAGAGAAGGAAGAGGAGGAGGAGGAGGAGGAAGAGAAGAAATGAGACGCAGGGCGCTGCCTCTCCAAAACGACGACCCAAGACCGCAAGACGGTTGGGACAAATAGTGACCCTCTTACCGAAAACAAAACTTCCAACCTGGCTGCCGCCCGCCCCTGCTGGCCAGAGCTGGTGCTGGGCCACCTCGGACTCCCAGCTGGCTCCAGGCCCCTCCCGAGCCCCCAAAGTGGTCCTCACTTCAGCGTCTTGAGCGTGCTGGGCCACCCCGGGGGGCTCTCGGCCCCGTCACCGCGGCCCACTTGCTTTTTGTTGTCGTTCTTTCTTGTCTGATCCCCGCGGCCCACGTGTCGCCGCGGACTGACTCGCCCGCGAAGGCCCGGAGGAGCGGCCCCCCTCCCGGGGAGAGGGCCCGGGGTGGGGAAGACGGGGCAGCGGCCGTGCTCTTGCGGTGCTGCTGCCCGGAGGTCGGGGCTCCCGTCCCCCCAGGGAGATCTGGGCCCCCGTCCCCCCGGCGAGCAGGAGAGGAGGAGGAGGAGGAGGAGGAGGAGGAGGAGGAGGAGGAGGAGGAGGAGGAGGAGGAGGAGGAGCAGGGGGAGGAGGAGGAGGAGCAGGGGGAGGAGGAGGAGGAGGAAGAGTACGAGGAGGAGTACGAGGAGGAGGAGGAGGGAAGGAGAGTGGGGGGAAGCACAAGCCAGGCGCGCTCGCGCCACGTCCGAGGTCCTGCCCCTCCCCGCGCATCCCTGCGGAGCCCTTCCCCTCGCGCTGCGCGTTCTCTCTGTCCGCCGACGCGTGTCGTAGCGGACCCAGCTTCCCAAAGCGAACCTCGTCGTATCATGCGCAATGCGAAAAACGGAGCTGCGTGCAGTGGAGGATCAGGTGGCGGATGAGCAGGAAGATGAGCAGGAGGAAGTAAAGGAGGAGGAGGAGGAAGAGGAGGAGGAGGAGGAGGAGGAGGAGGAGAAGGAGAATGAGGAGGAGGAGCCTGAGGAGGAGGAGGAGGAGGAGGAGGGAGGACGAGGACGAAAGGCAGCAGCAGGAACTGGAGTAGAAAGAGCGGGAGTAGTAGGAAGCCAACGGAAGACGGAGGAAGGACAATGAATTGGGCGACGCCGAACGGAAAAGGGTTCCAGGGCAGGGGCGCGCGCTGCGGCGAAGGCGCCATCCGGCACGACGGGGGGGGGCAACGCGCCGACCACACAGAAGGAAGCCCGCGCTGCAGCGCGACCACCACCTCGAAGCACCGACAACCGCACACGGGCCAGACTCCCAGCCCCGCCCTCTCGTGTGGAGTCCCGAAACGGTGCGGTGACAGACCGCGCGGTGACCTCGGAACCCCGAGAGACCTCACCGCACGGTCCGTCACCGCACGGCCTTGGGACCCTGGAGGCCCCCGTCGCCCGAGACGTCCTCGGAGCTCGACCCGAGTCCCAAAACCGTGCGGTGACCCCGAATCCCCACCGACTCACCGCACGGAGTGGTCACCGCGCCGTTTCGGGGCCCCCGATCTTGCAGCCACCGAGCCCGTACAGCCGCCCGGTCGGCGGCCGAGTGAGCTCGGGCGCCAGACGGGCTCAGGAAGGTAGCCCCCGGTAGGGCCCCCCTCTCGAGGGCGCGCCATAGGGGCAGACGGGCCCTTGGGAGGGGAGCGTCGAGCTGGAATCGGCGAAGCACCGCCGACATGTCGGCACTGGGCCCCGGATGGCGAAGCCGCACGGTCCGGGGCGCGGCGGGCCCTCGGGCCCCGAATCATCCGAGATGGCTGGGCGATCGGGGGACGAAACGTCCCACCGTGGAGCCTGCTCCCCCCTCGCGTTGCCCCCGACGGGGGCCTCCCTCCGTTCGCGTCCCTCCCCCCCACCCTTGCCCCGATCTCCGGGAGCCGCGCGAAGGCCCTCCGGGCCCACTCCGGGCCCCGGCGCTCCAGGGCGCCGCGGCCGAACGTGGCGAGGCCGTCGCGGAACACCACCTGGGAGGCAACGGCGACGGCGGCGACGACGGTGTCGGACGCAAGCGAAGACGACGACGCCGACAGCGACGCCTGCGACGCAGCCGCCGAAGATGGCGACGGCGACGGCGACGGATACCGACGCCGACGCCGACGCCGATGCCGACGCCGACGACAGCGGCAACGCCACCAGCGACGCCGAGGGCGGACCACAATGACGCAGCCAACGACTCCGATGATGCGAGGGGGGGCGAGGAGGTTTGCGGAGATTTCTGCACGTTGCTCGATTGTTCTACGTCGTCGGTTTAAAGTCTGGGAGGAGGGGGGAGGAGCATTCTTTTTCTTGTCGCCAACCGAAAACTGCTCAAGCTGCTCTGCTTCTATGAAGAGCAACAGCCCCCTCACGCCTGATATGTTTCCTACTTGATGAGCGGGTTGGCTGAAAGCAGCACCATCGCAATGACGAGCCCGTAGATCGCCAGCGACTCCACGAAAGCGAGGGACAGAAGGAGCACGCCGCGCGGGTCATCGGCCACCTGTAATTTGTTCAGCCGTACAGCAGCATGCCAGGCCAAGCCGGGGTGGGAAGCACGCCTGGCTCGCCGGCCCCCCGCTGGCGGGGCGGGGCGGTGCATGCGCAGGCAAACTAAATTGTGGCCGCAGTGTGCAAAACGCAGGAGCCCTCCTTGAGTTCCCCCCCGCGCGAAGTGAAAGAGGCATGAAACCTGCAGCGCCAGCCCAAACCAGGACCTTCGGCCGCGCCAGGGGGGCAGGCGGGCAACCATACAGCCCAGCACGGCCGAAATCGGGGCTTGTGCGGCTAGTAGCCTCGTGCCGAGGGCGACTAAGCCACTCGATCTTCCAGCACGCGTCGACGTCGGGCAAGCGCAGAAGATGGGCTCATGCAGTCAGCGCTGCTGGATCGGCTCACAAATGCTCTGAACTGGCGGCGACCGGCCCGCCCCCAGCCGGGCAGGAACCCGGGGGAAGGCGAGGCCGGCGCAGACGGCAGTGCACGGGGCCGAAAGGCCTTGGGACCACAAGTGGGGGCCCAGTGTTGGTCATGAGAGCGGGAACCCGCGGGTGGGGTCCCCGCGCAGTGATCCCAGCCTGCTCTGCCAGTGGTGATCGCTGTGCGGGCATGGCGGTCAGAATACGATGTCGTAGATAAGGTGCAGCCGACCCGTATCATAAGGACGCACGCTGAGGATGCAAGGGCCTGAGAGGGCCATGTCGACATTTCGCGGGTGGAGCGCGGCCAGCGAAAGCGGCCAAGGATGGGCCGAGGAGGCAAGGGTGCAAGGGTACCCTTGGGAAGGTTGCCCATCCTTACCCTGCGGGTTGACTGTAGATGCCCTTGGGGAGGTTCGGCAAGTCGTCGGTGACATCCCACACCTTCACCACGTGGAAGCCCCCCCGTGGAAGGCGTCATCGGCCACCGGGCGGCTGATGCCGTCAACGCGGCGGCTGGAGGCAATGCCCCGGCCGACTCTGGATCCGATGGTGGCCAGCCCGACGGCGAAGCCGGCGCCGACGGCAGACAGCGCCGGGAGCCACACGCTCGAGCCCTCCGCGAGGACGGCGGTGGGCTTCGCGAGCACCGCCGCACTGGGCGCCGCCGTCGGCCACGACTGCACAGGCGCGCGGGACTCGACAG